CCTTTGCCAGGGCACTTATAAAAAAGGCTTTTCTTGGAAGCTCCAAGCTCCACTTGTTAAGTGACATATAGTCTTCCAGGGTGGTGGATACTTGCAGGATTTGCAGATCGTGGGCGAGACCGGCTCCGAAGTCAGTGGCTACATCCCGCATCAGCGAACGCTTCGGGGAAGTCGTACAGTCTGACCTCCTTTTCTACAAGCGCAAGGTCATCCTCCACGTGGTTGATGAGACAACGCGGTATTCGGTTGCAGTCTTATTGCCGAACAAGTCCGAAGAGGCGATCAAGGAAGGCTTTTCCATGGGCTGGATTCGTCACTACGGACCTCCTCAAAAGGTCATTGCAGATGGCGAGGGCGGCATTATGTCACTTGACAGCTGGTTTCAATCACAGAAGATTGAATTGCGTCCTCGAGCTCCCGGTCAACACGCACAATTGGCGGAACGGCACCACGAGGTTTTACGGCAACAGCTCCATCGGCTTGAGGACCAAGCGGCTGAAGAGGGCGTCTCGAGTGGTTTCGAGGAGATACTTACAGAGTCGATTATAGCCAAGAACAGCTTGACATCGATTGCTGGGTATAGCCCATTTCAGGCCGTACATGGACGAACCCTTGAACTATTGGATTTGTCGGCAGAGAGGTTACCGCCAAATCGACTGCGAGAGCTTGCAATTTCCTCCATGGTGGAGGCCACGGCGCGTGAGCGTGCCAGACGGGCTGAGCTGAGTAACACACGGCCTGCAGCCGAACTCGAGGAGTACAACATCGGCGACGTAGTTGAGGTGTATCGGCGTGGCGTCAGCAAAGATGAGGCCTGTTGGCACGGACCGTGCCAAATTACAGATACATCCTCGATGAGCAGCGGCGTCCTTAGCGTGAAGTTTCAAGGTCGTGTGCTTCTATGTCGTCTACAAGATGTTCGTCGAGCTTTGGTATACTGGTCTTTCTTGCAGCTTCCCCGTTTCAATTCTCCGCTCACCATTATGGCCATGCTTACCGAACAGTTGCGTGGAAAGGTACTTCGATTGGGATGGTTTCAGGCAAATGGCACGTGGAAGGCTTTCGAGGGTAACCGACACCACGGCGAACTTCTCGAAGCAGCTCTTCATGTGGCATCCTTCTCTTTACAGCTGGACGGTTGCTTGCAATTGCGCGTGGGCTCTGGCATTCGCAGCTTGGAAGGAATCGCCAACAGCGACGACTCCGTGCTTCTCAGTTGGCCTCTGGAACGTGTGGAACTTTGTGACATCCTCTTCATGCCCGGCTCCAACCGCGTTGGCTTGGACAGGATCTACGAAGACACTTGGGCGAGAAGAGCTTTGGTCCAATTCGTTCTTGAAGACGCGGACACGGTGCAGCGTGCAAGAGCGGAACGGGAAGACATGGATCACTTGGGGCCCATGTTTGATCGCCAGTGGCATCGCGGACGGATCAGACAAGTTCGAGCCTTGACGGACGGATCCCCTGGACTTGCCTCAGGTGATCTTCAGCAAGCAGCATCTTCGGCAGCTACCTCAAGCCTACAGCCCGGCTCGCGTGTTGGAGGAACAGCTGACAGTCCCGCAGTTCCTGCCAGTGACCACGAGCACTCCGACGACGAAAACGAGGCCGCGCAGGACCATTCGAGTCAAGCAGCTCAACTCACAGGCAGAGCTGTGGACGACTTGCAGAGCCGAGATTCCGAACGAAGCCCGGCAACCGATATGGCAAGTTCTTATGAGACTTCGGACAACTACGTGGACCCGGATTCTCTTGATGACGCGCCATCGTTGGTCTTCCCAGGGTCTTTGGCTACGCTTTTCGGACTGTGCAGTCAGGAAGTTTCGGACGACCACGACGTGACGATATACTTCCTTTCCAACGGCTCGGTCCATCAAGTCATCGAACGTACAAACAACACCCTCACACGCGAGGAGGCATTGCAGCACCCTGCGGAATGCAAACAAGCCATGAAAGATGAGCTATTACGGTGGCAGTATCACAAAGCATGGCGAAGAGTTCCCCGGCGAACTGCCACGAACTTGCTTCCCTCACGTTGGGTATTGAAATGGAAGATCGTTGATGGCAAGCGTATTATCAAGGCTCGACTCACGGTCCAAGGCTTTCGCGACAAGGAAACCACGGAGAACTACAGTGGAACAGCTACAAGGTGGACGCAGCGGCTTCTCTTGGCTATCGCAGTGGAAAACAATTGGCCGGTGGCAGCGGCTGATGTGTCAGAGGCCTTTCTCAGGGGCCTCACCTTCGCAGAAGTTAGCAAGATCACTGGCCAACCATTGCGATCAGTACAACTGCAGCTACCCGATGGAGTTCAAGAAGTTCTTCGCGATATTCCTGGTCTCAGCGACTTGGATTTTTCCGTAGAGGTGCTGGAGATGGTTAAGCCTGGATATGGACTGAAAGACGCACCGCGTTTGTGGGCGCAAAGGCTTCGACGATGTCTTCGTGAACTCAATCTTCTTCCCCTGAAAGTCGATGCGCAGGCCTATGTCATGCACGAGGGCAACAGCCTAGTATGTATGCTTACAGTACACGTCGATGACATCAAGCTGACCGGTAGCTTGGCAACCATCGAGCGTGTGTTGGCGCGACTGCGCAAGAACTTCGACAAGGTGAAAGTGGAAATGAATGAGTTCGAGCATTTGGGATTGAAACACCGGAGAGTCAGTGATGGCTTTACCATATCCCAAAGACATTACATCGAGCAGTTGCGTCCTATTCCGGACAGTCTTTATGTCCACGGCGGCTTAGACGACCCGGTCCCGACTTTGGCGATGGAGTTGTTTCGCTCGCTGGTTGGTGGCTTGGCTTGGGCAGTGCAGACTCGTCCGGACACAGCTATCTTTGTCAGCGCCCTTCAACGACATCTTGCTCGACCTCTTCACAGGCATTGCCGCGATGCTAATCGGGTATTGTTGTACATGCAGAGAAAACCCCTCGATGTGCTTATTCCTCGGATTGGCAGCAAGTGGCGACTGCTTGTGATAAGCGACTCTGCTTTTCAAGGCGTGGATCACGATCACTTGGCGGTTCGGTCTGGTGTTATTGCTCTCGCGTCAGCAGATGCAGCGCTACATGGCGAGATGAAGTTACAAGTGCTGGACACTGTCAGCAAGAAGCAGTCACGAGTTTGCAGGTCGACGCTTCAAGCTGAACTGCATAGCGCTCTGGACCTCTATGGACAAGCAGCGGTCATGGCACACGGCATCACCGAGGTTCTTGAAGGATCTCAAACAGCCAATGTGTTAGCACAACGCTTCGACGACGGGAAGCTGGCCATCGATATGGAGCTTATTATTGATGCGCGCTCAGTCGTGGAGGCGGTCGCTCCCGAACACATTCGTATTTCGGACAAGATCACGGCCATTCACTTACTGAAATTGGCAGAGCACCTGGAGACGAAGCAGCTGAAATGTCTTACGTGGATTGACACCCGCGACATGCTTGCCGATGGCCTCAACAAGGGAGCAGTGGAACGTGAAGCCCTGCGCATCCTTTGTGCAACCGGAATCTGGAACATCAAACACGATGCTCATACGATATCCCGACAGCCGTCGGCAGCTTTCTTGGTTACTTTGTCTTCGTGTTCTCTCGCCCTACAGTTTCAGTGAGGAGGTGGCCTTCGAGCGCTACTACAACTGTGACCTCAGCAGCAGCAAACACTTCACAAACACTTCTAAGCAAAGCTTGCAGCACGAGCAGCCTGAGTCGGAAGGTACTTGCTTGCTTGGTGCTCTGAGGACCCTTAAGTCATGCCATGCATACCGCTGCCCACTTGTAGCTCCGGAGACGATAATGTGCTTTACAAGCAAAACACTTCGCGTGTGGGGCCTTCTTTTCCTGCCTGGGTTACTGATCTACTTATTCCCTTTGTATCTCAACTCCATGGGCCTCCAAGTACCCATACTAATAACTCCCTCACCCCGAAACTTATCAGTACTCTGTAAGATATGGTACTTTCCCAAAATAGGGAACCCCAATGTAGTCCAAAACATAGTATAATCCTTATTATTGGGACCCCCAAAGGTACCCCTAATTTTGGGAAACCCCCATATGATGCTGGGAATATTCATTGCAAGAAGGTGGGGCCTTGAGATGATTGGGGGCCGGTTTAGGGTTTAGGGCCGCTTGTGGGGAGGGGAGATTCTGCAGGCGCGATGCCAGAAAGGGAGCGAGCAAGATAGGACGCCTGCTGCAGGGATTGCCTGGGATTTCGTACAACTATTGTTGATTATTGTTGCCACTCTTATACTTCTAGCAGGCACGATATTCTTACTATTAACTACTTGCATTATTCTTACTTCAATACTGTACTATTACTATATACCATTGTTAGGGATGCAAGATTTCGGGATCAACGTTTGGGGGGTCAAGGGATAAAGGACAGGCTCTAAGGGCAATCCAACTCCGGTGTCATTATGGGCCATGGGTTCTGTGGGCATTGCCCTTGTGATGGCCTCTTAGCAAAGTAAGGGGTCTGTTGGAGCCGGGATTTGAGTTTAAGCCAACTCCACACCAAATCTAGCTGCGCATGTGGAGCCTTCTCAATTGCAGTACCCTGCGGCCCCCTGAACCTAAACTGTGTAGGGCACTTTGGAGGAGGGCAGATGTCCCTTTTGAAAGCTCGTTGCAAAGACTTTCGTAGCGTTCTGTGGAGGGCTCTGTTTTTGCTCCTCAGTGCAATGCAACCCGTTGCATGTTGCATAAACATGCCAAGTGCCGCTGATTCTGTCAAAGCACCACGTGATAAGGAGTCTGTTGCATTGAAACGCATCCTAATCTTGCAGCAAATACATACTGAAGTGGTGACGAAGGTATATGAATTGGTTGTCCAAGTATTGTCCCTCGGTCCCTATTGCAATTCTAGATTGCACCAAAGTCTTGTTGCAAAGCATACCTTGCGGGTCCCTTGCTCGGGTGCCACCAGAACAAATATCAGGAGGACTTGGGGGGGGAAATTATTCTATCACATCGTGAATGAAGGGCCTTCAGAAAACACTCCAGCTGCCACGATCATTCCCTGAAAGTTCTCATGTAGCTCTATTACGCTATATCCCCAAAGCCTAATTCTACGTACTCAGGCCCCTACACTATCCCTCCGTATTACTTCAGACTACATACGTTTCAAGCCGTCGTCCCTGACACCTGAGAATGAATGCTTACTCGCAGTCTTCTGCCTAGGTGGTCTTTGCTAGGAGGATCATACGGTTTTTTGGGTTTTAGAGTTGAGGATTTAGTAAGTAGGTCAACAGTGGGGATAGCTGAGGCTCTGAAATGTATTCTTTTGGTGATGAGTATCATTACTGGGGTCCACCCCTCCCAGAAGAAAACCATAAACCCTAAAACCTAAACCCTAAAATCCTAGACCCTAAACACTGAAGCCTGGACCCCTAAACCCCTAAACTCTAAACCCTTGAGAGCTTCCACAGACGAGGAGCCCACAAAAGTCCGCGAAGCGGCAGGGAACTCAGGGGATGTAATCACCCCAACCCCCCAAATTTTAAGACCCTACTACTATGGGCTATGAGACCTCAAGGGTGCCTTAATCTACCCTTAATAGGCTCCTAATAGGGAATTCTAGGGTCTAATAGCCCATAGTGGGCCCTAAAACGCTGTTCTTGGGTCCTGGGACCTTTAGGGATAGCCAAACGCAAGCCACCTAACGCCAGCAAGACCTTTTGGATACTTTGCAAGCACGCGCAAACTAGCCACCTGACCATTTCGGGTTTTGCATGGATTTGGATTTGGGTTTTGGGCAGGTTTTGTTTATTTAGATTTAGCTGAAGGAGGGCACAAGGGGGCATCCTAGAAGGAACTAGAGGGAGAAAAAGTCATCCTGCTCAGTAGAGGTGGCTTCGCGAACGCTTTGCAGAAAACCTGTGGTTGCAGTATGGTCAGACATGGCAATGCCGCGTCCACTTCCGGGGTTATTCATTTTTTGGGGATACCTTATGGGAGGTTTAGGCTCCCGTGCTCGTGCCCTACTAACAAGGCTGATGAACCCATGCTCTGGTAGTTGTTTCAAACTCATACCCAAAGGGTCCAAGGGACCCAAATAATAGGGTTTTAGGGCCCAAATACTATAATGCTAAGGGTATTTGGGCCCTAAATCCCTATTATTTGGGGTCCTTGGACCCTTAGGGCTTGCTGTGAAGGAGAACAGGTACA